AGGACAAGCGCGCGCGTCCTGCCCGTCCGTGCGCTGTCCGTTTCACCCCAAAACTGGCGCAACTTTGAGCCGGGGATGGGTCGAAAGCGGACACAAAGCGGACAAAAGTCCATTTACGCCTGCGCGCTGGGCCGTCTTGTTTGTCCTTTTTACCCCAAACGGACGGGGGCGGACATGATAGGGTCGCACGGTGGAGTTGGCCTCATCATCATCATCATCATCATCATCATTGGCGCTCGCTTTTCTCCCCCGTTGTTTCGTTTCTTGGAGGTGCCAGGAGCTGCTTTCTGCTAGCATGTCTGACGGTTTGTTGATGCAGTTTTTAGTTGGATGGTGGCGGTGAAGGGTGGGCGGGTGCAGAAGAACCTGCTCCTGCTACTGCTAGATTTGATGTAATCGAGCCCCGGCTGCTATCTGTTTTTAAGCTTAATTGGTTGCTGTGCGGGTGTACTACTTAGCAAGGTCAAACTGGTTTGGCTCTGGAATAATTGAGGGACGTTTTCAATCAGAGTGCCGCCTGCCTCGAACTGTATGGATCTTCTTTTTTCGCTCTGATGAAAACATCAACTGTTATAAAATGGTGGGGGGTATTTTTTCTTCTTCTTTTTTGAGCTGGGAGAGAGGGATCTTTTCGGCATACTCGATGATGCGCCGGTGTGCATTTACATTGTCAAACCAGCCTTTTTTTTCCAGCTAGATGAATAATGTCGCCTTCTTCTCCAAACAATACTGCAACGGATGATAGAGAAGCTTCGTTGACCTCTGCTTGATCATCGTTGTCGTGGCCTGAATGGACGGAGGGTCGATGGACCGCGACGTCGAGTCATGGCCCGGTGATTTGCATGTCTGACTTGTCCGCAGCCATACTCCTAGTACGTAGTACAAACCAAGCCACTCGAAATATATTATTCACATCCTTTTCCACCGGCGATGTGTACGCTACATCCATTGATTTTTTATCTTTCTTGTCCTCCACGTAACGCCCAGGCTTTCTTGTTTGTTCTTGGCAGCGAAACGGAATTGACTAACTGATCACTGATGACGAGGCTAAGAGGACCGCGCGCTGGACCGACTTTGAAGCTGTGACGCTGGCGTCTGAATGTTACTCGTACAAGGCACACTCTTATGTTGATCGACCTCTTTTCCTTGCACGGACAGCCATCCGTCGATCATTTTGAAACTTCTCTCCACGTCCAAATTCTCCTTTCTTTTTTCGCGGACATTTTCCTCACATCGCAATGCTTGAAACAGATTCTCCCCCTCTCTCTCTCTCGGGCAGCAGCAAGAAATGTATTTTTTGCTGCCTAGTAGGACAGCAATAATGAGTGACTAGTCTCTCTCGAGCACAAGTCGTCGAAGAAGGCTGTAGACAGTTGCAGACAAAAGCATGGT